CCCCCTGATTTACGCAAAATCTCAATGCATTTTCTTCTTGCTTCTTAATCTTCAAAAACCTTGTCATATGTGTCGAAAGCGAAAGAACTTCAAGATTTTAGAGAAAATATTTGTGAGAAACAGCTTTGAACAAAAAACAATACACAGATTTTGCGTTTTGTAGAACATGAAATTCTCTTTCTTGAGACATACGAGGGAATTGCTTCAAATCCCATTAAGATATCAAAAATTTCAAACCTTTTCCTCAGAGCTATGGACATATTATCTGGAATTTTAGCCTATAAGATGATATAAACTAAAAACTTTGCCCATTAATAAGAATCCTTATAGATACGAGCAGAAAATACAAAAATGTTATGATTTGCGGGCACTTAATTTTTCGGGAAGAAAACAGTATTTCGTGATGTAACTTCCAGGAATATTCAATTTATAGATAGTCTTATCAGTGACCGAGAGCTTCAGATTAGACCGCAGTCATTTAATTTTTTTAGTGTATACCGTCCGATAGGTTAAAATTTCAGTAATATGAGTATAACTCTGGTGAGAATATTTAAAAGCACATTTTCCATTTTGAGATTTTTCATAACTCACTTGGATCTAATTTATGAACAAAGGTCGAAATCAAAAACTATTTATCACTTGAAATTGCTTTATTTTTCTCTTTAATAAAAACTTGGAATTCTTCTCTGTTATTAGAAAAATGAACTCATTCAGTTCAACATATTTGATTCACTTTTTTTGTTTTGTTTTGCTAAATTATTTCTGTTCAACAATCGATATCATCATCGCCTATTACTAAGAGTCAAAGAAAATAGATGCAGTACTTCAAATTATTGAATACTGTTGCATTTGCCTTTGTGAAAAAAAATGAATAGCAGTGTCAAATTCTTAGTCATAGTTTCAATTGTTCTGTTTTGGTGAAAATTTAAAATAAAAATTTGTTCATTATAATAATATTCTTTTATTTTAACTAGTAATGTAGTAGCTGGTAACAATCTCTATGATGCTGAATATATTCGATATTTTACTGGTATAAAAACAATCGTTTTACCATCATTATGTGCTTATACAAGAGCGTCATATCGACGTAATGAGCGAAAACCTTTTTTAATAGGAAATATGAATGCGCAGAATTTTCATTCGAAATTTATGTCACTCTTAAGTGATTCATTTAATCGTTTAAAGATAAAAGTATCGATTCGTCATATACGAGACTTTTATAAAAGACATTATCGATATACTGAACTAGCTCAACATCCAGGTATAATACATATTCCATATCAAGTATCTCTTATGAGTATATTTGAGCAATATAGAATGAATATTCCATTATTTGTTCCATCACTTGATCTTCTTACAGAATGGCATTATACATATCAGGTTGTTAATGAACGAACTTGGGACGGAATCTCTAGAAAATTAGGAAATGCATCAAGAATATCAGGTGTTTTAGGTCCTGATATACCTGATCCTAATAATGATTTGGATCGAGATGCAATTCGTTACTGGCTAAAGTTTTCTGATTTCTACCAATGGCCACATATTATTTATTTTAATTCAACTGATGATCTTCTTATTAAATTAAAAACGACCAATTTTCAACAAGTTAGTGAAAATATGAAAGTATATAATGCTAATTTAAGAAAACATCTATTCGAACAATGGCGCCAAATACTTCAAAGAACTAATCCACTATAAGAATTGCTCATTATCATATAAAATATTGTTTCATATCAATTTATTTCAAATTAGCTAAACCTATCCAAGTGGTTAGTGTGGATGTCCTCTAGAAAGCTCCACCCATTCAAATCGTTACCGCGCACTCACTCACATTCTCAACATCGGTATGAACTGTGCGCTTATATGGCATTTATATATTTGATATTTTGTATCTTTCTAAGAGAGCGATGATTGGTATACACCAATAGGTTTTGTTTTCCTATTCTGTATATATTAAACAATCGAGATTGTCGTTCGCCTGCACTGATATCAATGCGTGTGTACATCCGAATTCTCTTAATCTGAAACAGCACAGGCATACCCCCATGTATAATTTTTAACTCTAATAAACATCTCCGTGCTGGTATGAATGCTAGAAATATGTTGTCGTGCTATTCAACGACTGTGCAAACTCTAATTTTTTTCATCTTGCTATCTCTTGGCAACGCTTTCAAATCTATCAGGATCGTGTGAACAGATTTAGCTAGTTAGTTTTACCATATACGTCTATGTATTGAAAAATGTAACTGTTGTTAAGAATGTTTCTTATCCGTATATTGTAACTACTAATGATAATGATGAGGATACAGATTATTCTATAAATAAATCTAGATGCCAAATTACAGTTATCATTTTGACAACCTTTCAACATATATAGTGAATTAAAGTTTAAGAGCCCTGTATTCTTCCATGAATTTTTCTACTATTGGTTCCAAGTTTTCATTAACCATTATGATTTCTTCTTCACCATATTCATTGCTACCGTAAATGTGGCATATTTTGGCACCTTTCTGTTTGACTTCTAATATTTTCGTATACAATAATTGTGCTGAATAATTAGTACAACCAGTCGTGAGATAAACGATACCAATTTTCAATGTCGAATATTGCAACCGCTTTTGTAATAAATGCTGAAATTTGATTAGAGATATTTTTATTAGCGATGATGCGAAACCTTCCCGATGATAGTTAGTGTCAATAGCTAATTGTTCTAATTCACACGTTATACAACGTTTATAACCTCCTTTAACAACCGATAGAATATAGCCGACAACATTTGATTCATTATACGTTATTACAAAATAAGGACTGTTTGAATTGTGTTGAATCCATAGGCGAGCATAGTCATCAATTTCATTATCATGCGGAAAAATTGATCGATTAATGCGAACAATTGAGTCAAAATCATCGTCACTCTTGGCTTCTCGTACTTCAATTGGATATTTTTCATTTTCATATTGATAATAGAATGCAGTTTCGTTGAGAATAACTCGGCCTTTTTTTGACGACATAAGGTGATCGAAAATTACAACGTTTATTATTAAAGAGAGTTCCTATGGAATCATCGAGTATAATGCCAATAACCGAGGTAACGAGCAAAATTTTGTTTTTTGATTCAGCTGGTGAACAGTAAGCCCGACGCGACTTTTGAGTACTACCGCAAATATCTGAAAAATATAGACTAAAATTGTTAATGTAGTGATGAACTTTCTTAGGCAACTAATCAGTAACAAGTTTTTCGTATAACCAATCAATAGATACATATATTTAAAACTTGAAACTTGAATTCAAGTCAAGTTTCAAGTTGACGCTATTGCTCCATTCAGAGGTTTTGATAGAAAATCTTAATCGAAAGATCCCTGTATCCTCTCGCATGGGGATTATTGAAAAGATTTTTTCTTTTGTCATTGTCAAAAGACTTTGATGGAACGGAGCAAGCGAGTCAAATACTGATCCAAACTACACAGAAAATTTTGGATATGATGAAACTTTTTGATTATTTTCTCAAAACTCTCGAGGATAATTTGAATAGAAAATAAATATTTTTTGGTATTTTGCGATAGTTTCTCAAGACCATTCGTAAACATGAGAGGAAAAATTTTCCATCAGTTTTTGCTAGTCAATTTAGACTGTAAAATTATCACTTTATGAACGGATTTCTGAGTCCTCGGAAGCAGAGATGTCCACAGGGCAGGGTGGGAGCCTTACATTACAGGGTAAAAATTCAGTTGTTTGAATTTCAGTTATGAAAAAATGCTTTTAGTTTCAAAGTATCAATAATAAAAATAGACTTCAGAGAGCGACAGCAACTGGTAAGCAGAACTTCTGATTTATATTGATCACCGTATGAATACGGTAGAATCAAGATAATTATAAATAGTGACCATAAAAGACGTAGGATATCTTAAGTAAGAATGGGAACTTCGAATATCTTCAGAATGGATTACTCCAAAGGACTACCAAACAAGGACAAACTACTTTCCAACTAGAACTCGCTGAGCTCTATTCAGCCCAGATACCAATCGTAGTCGAAATCTCCCTAAAAAACTGAAAATCACAAAAACCATAAAAAAAAGTCATACAAAACTCAACCAATTTTGTTAAATCCAGTCACGATTGGTCAGGAAGAATTTTTCAACATAGTCGCAGTGACTTCCAGTCGATAGAGCGGGTAAAAATTTGTTTAGAAACCATCGTGGCTATCTCGGGAAGTTGCTATTGCGCAATCACGAAAGGATTTAGCAAAAAACCTAGGAATTTGGGCCTAATTTCTATGGGTCGAGAATTTTAAATCGAGCTCAAAAGGTGTCTAATCGATAGAGTACAGCAAGATCTACATCGAAAATAGTATGAGTGATTGTAACGTTCTTCTGGACGAATCACTATGGATTTTACCAAAATTGGTTCAGTTTCGTATGGTTTTTCGGGATTTCAGCTTTCTGCCAGATAGTTTTTTTTGTAGAATTCATATAGGGGCCGGATAGATCCTGTCATGTTCTGCTTCAGAAGTATTTTGTCTTTTTTGGAAAGCTGTTTGGAACGAATTCATTCAGGAAATACTCGGATCCAGTTCAAAGATATTCTCCGTATGCCAGCTTAGCAGAGCAGGGACAGGGCACAAAAAATCATGCTGTGGACATCTCTGCTCGGAAGTAACCTCTGTGTAAAAAGTCTTGGTACAATTTCGTTTTATAGGTTTCTCTAAGCGGAGTAAGCTCTCTCAGATTCTCTACGCACTGCTTTATAGGTCACTAGCAAACCTTCAAAACGATAAATGATTTGTTGAATCATGTTTTCTTTTGTAGATATGACACGTTCAGAACGAGAGCATTTACAAAAGCGTGTTGTACAACAGTATATAACTGTTGCAAACAAACAAACAAAAGAAGATTACTGTTAATGATTTTTTACAAGAAAATATTGTCCACCAAACTATATACAGTATTATTAGGGAGTATGAAGATTGTGAATATATCGGAGATAAATCTAGGTGTAGTCGGCCAAAGAAACTATCAAGTGGACAATTAACACGGCTGAAACGATTAGTGAATCATAAGATTGACATTTCTTTACGAAAAATAGCTCTTAAATTCAAAGTTAGTTTTAAAACAGTTGGTAACCATCTGAAAGCTTTGAATGTATGCTATCGCAAAAAAAAACTCCAATAAATTTCAACTCGTACACGTCGTTTATATCGTTTATTATTAAAAGATGATTATGAACTGTTGATGGATGATGAAAAGTATTTCTTGTTGCACAATGAATCTGTACCTGTAAATCGTGGGTTTTATTCATCAGACGTACATGCTAGATTTCTAGATGTAAAATTCAAAAGAACTAAGAAATTTGAACCTAAATTAGTAGCTTGGATTGCTGTGTCTGAAAATGGCATTTCCAAACCATTCTTCTTAAAATAAAGACACGCTATTATCCAGACAACGTATTTTAACAACTGTAGTAGAGCACGTTTAATGCCATTCATTAACAGGTAACACACTAAAGAGAAAGTTTTATTTTGGCCTGATTTGGCGTCAAGTCATTATGATCATGATATAACGCAGTATTTAAATGATAGTGATGTACAATTCGTGCCCATAAAGTGCAATCCTCAAAACTGTCCACAAGCTCGTTCAATAGAGACTTTGTGGTCAACTATCGACGGTATGGTACATGACAATGGTTGGGAAGCAAAAATGATTGATAGTTTAAACAGAAGAATTTCGAAAAATCACCGATAAAGGACCTTATGAAGCTTGTTCTTTTTGATGTGTAATCATAACCATTGTTACTTTTGTTGGTTGTGAAGAAAAAGAAATAAAAGTGATTTACTGAAATAAAAAACTAAAAACATTTTTGTACCAAGACTTTTTTCACAGAGGTTATTAGCGAAGCGAACCTTTCACTAAAGTAGCTGCTCAATAATATCTTTCTTAAGTCAAAACTTCAAATCTCTAGCACGATTTGTTAATGAGTTATGAATATTCTTTTGGTAATATATGAAACCAACAAAAAGTTTTAAAAAGTGTGCTTTTTAGGTAACAGTTCCGTCAGAACGATTTCTACATTTTTTGAAACTGCGCCACTTTTCTTCAAACAGCTTACGTTAAAACTTTAAGGATTCTTCTCTCTATAATAGATCTTAAGCTTATATACTAGGTGGTAGATATTGTTTCAGTGCTGACCATAGTAAACCGTTTTTCACTACAAGTAATAAGTTTTTTACAAGGTGCTTTTACAGTTTTTTTTAGAGAAAATAGAATTACACAACATTTGTAAAAAAAATCATGCCCAGATCCTTTCAAATGGCAAAATGACAGTTCCTCAATATTATTTAGTGATTGACGAGCACTAATGTTAGCTCATGATTAATGATGAGTTCCTTGACTTCTTGCATATTATTTAATTAATTTCTTTTTGCTGTTGCTATATAGTTTTACAATATATTCTATCATTCTTCCGTTATTCTACTATAACTAATTTGTGTTTGCTGACTCTAGCCGCCGTCCACCTCACCACATTCTCTTACTAAATTGTTTACTTTCATATTTTAGACTTGTGGTACTTTGTCTTGACAATCAATGTTATATCTGCGAAAGGTCTCGTCATCTTTGATGGTGCTCCGTTTCAATATTCATCTCTATCGCCTTTTCCACCCCTGTTTGTCATGTCTAATTTTCTATGTATTGTTGCCCTTCACTATGTTGCTGCCAAATATATAGTTAAGCTCAAGTTGAACATGAATTGGCAGTATTTGGCATATAGTTTGTAATTGGCATATTAAAATATATCACGTACACGTCTAATGATGTTGTTCACTTTTTCTATGCTCTATCTTTAAATATATAATACAAAAGAACTTGTTACTGATAAGTCGTTTTAAAAGGCTCCTCATCGCATAAAGAATTTTTGATGATGTTTTTCAAACATTGACGTTAGTGCTCTACTGATTAGGATGCGAGTATCAAATAAAAAACTAAATCTTGGTAGGTATTCCGGTTTCTTGGTACTCTAAAATCTGCGCAGTTTATCAAAAGAGATACTTTGGAAAAAAAATTGAGCTATTTAATTAAATCTTCATAGCTATACCGTTGTTTGTAGCCATGAATTAGTCGGGATATGTATGAAGTAACAAAAGATATTGAGAATCTAATTTATATCCAATCAAAATAGTAAGGTTCTTATTTAAAATCAAATCATTTTGTTAAGAAATAAGGATAGCAATTATATATTAAAGGCTTTTTATTATTATTGGACACAAACAATTCTATCGATATGAAAATAAATTATTTGTTTTAACTGCAAATACTACGTAGAAATAAAATAATTTCGATAGAATAGTAACTCACTGGTTAGTTATTAAATGTTTTTTTCGTCTTCGACTTAAGCATGAAAGTTATCATTTTTATTTCACTAAGATGTTGTGAGTGACAAGTGAGAAGACAAAATTTAAAGGACGCGCCAACTGATGGTATCTCGACGTGTTGAGAGGACAACATTAAAAATTCTATCACGGTGATAACTCTGCCAATGCCTATCAATATTTTTTTTAAAGAATGATATCAGTTGCTTCCTTAATTATTTGCATGACTCATTATATATAATCATTTTAAGCGTTAAATCCCTTGATCGAAGACAATAAGTAATCATGAATGAATTCTGTATTCGTAACCTAAAAATAATTAATATGTGTTTATTCAATGCTACAAGAGAGTATGTTATGTCAGGAGATATCTGTCCTGCCATAAGTATGTTCTATCTTCTCTCAGTTTCATTCGATCACATTTACAATCATTCCATTCTTCTTCTTGTATCTGCTCTATTTAAGTGAATGTTAATATTTAAAGAAGGGGGATTATTTTTCTTGTGAGAAAGTAATAATAAGAAGAAGGCGAAATAAAGAAGAAGATTGCAACAAAGGATAAACTATTTTTTCATGTTGAGCAGGTATTCATGTAGATTTTTGCATGCACTTTATGCTACCCACGGAAAAATATTTAAGTAGATACCGCTGTTAGACGCGGTTTTTGATAATGACCGCGGTTATATCTTTGGTGACCGCGGTTATATCTTTGGAGACCGCGGTGTGCGAAATAAACCGCATTTTATCGCGGTATGTCATACCGCAATATAGGTTTACCGCGATATGCTCTAACGAAACCACCATGTAGTTACCGCTGGAAACCGCGGTTTGAAAAAAACTCGGTGATATGTAGATTATTTGCGGTATTCGAGAACCACTATATTTCGCAATATTATATCTTGCGACCTTGTTATTACGAATCGAGATCTCCATACATTATTTCCAAAGATATCATTATTCAGAAGAATATAGTCCTAAGGGCGGTGTGGAAAAACCTAATAAACGGTCTGACTTTCGCGGTTCTTAATAACCGCTGAGAGTCGCAACTGGTAAACTGCCAGTAACCGCGGTTTTGGTTGAAAAATTTTTCCGTGGGTAGTCAACCATGGAGCAACTATTCAAATATCCATAAACACAGCAAAAGGCCACGAAAAAGTAAAGTAGCTATGAAACAAACACACAAATACATAGAAAACACAAAGTATGTACAAATTTGCCAAATAGCTTTTGAGAAGCCAGGTACTTAGGAAAAAGTCTAAATGCAATGAAACTATCCGAATAGCTATTACCTATTAATATAGCGACGAAAGATTCATCCAAAAGGCTATGCAAAAGTAACATAATGACAAAGTCCCCAAAGTGTTTAATATTAAGAACAATGTATATCTTTTGAAAAAACACTATCATGGGGACTCTCTTGATATATTTTTTATCTAGATGTAAGCAGCAAGCAAGAAAGAAAGAAATGAAAACATTTACTCGACTATCTTTATGAAGAATAAGATAAGATGATATGACCGTCGCATATAGAAAAACACCAGGTAAAATAGTTGCAGTAGAATAAATGACAATATCGAGTGCTGTCCTTTATATCTCAACTTTTTTTCATCGTGTAAAATTAGAGATGAATAGAATACCTGAATGACTATGGTATGGGTGGATAAAGAGAAGCCTAGCACTCCCACCCACACTTTTATTTAATTAAGTTCACTCAAGTAAAAAAATGTATAAGGTGCTTTTCCAAAACAAAAAGACAAACCAATAAATATACTTTTATTTTTCAAAATCTTATGTACGTCTTTGTGATTAATTTTCTATGTGACTTTGTGTAAGTACATGAATAGAAAATAAAGTGTACAAATAATATATAAATATACATATTTCAGGTTGAATATAGCTATTCGGATTGAAACAAGTAAGTATAATAATACTTTAAGTTCAAATAGGTGTCCCCACTATCAATATCTATGACAAATCGGGTATTTTTTTGAATATTCCCATATCATGCGAACCGATCGAAAAACGTTAAACTTAGTGTGAAAACTTTCTAGTGATAGCTTTAAAAACGCTCAAAAACATAGTCCTTGTTTCGATATTGTCTAGGGTAGTCGGTACACAGTACCGAAAACGCTCCATAATTTATCCAGTGGCATTGAATACGGATATCGTTCTACTAAAAATAGTGACTCTCCGTAAAGTTGTTGTTTTTTCATTATTCACTGTCGTATATGGAACGTATCTTGCGACCCGAATTCTGTTCTAAACAACTTTCTAGAGGATACAATTGATTTTGATGAAGTTTTCCTACCCAAGTGAGCAAAAGACTGGTTAAATGACTAGTCTTTTTTCTAGTCAAGTCACCCCGTCCCGTCTAGTCTTTGTCTCAAAAACTCTCGTCCACGACTAGTCCGAGTTTTTATCCGTCATGCATACGCGTCCTAGTACTCTGATTGACGACTAGTCATAAAATCTAATAAGAGTAGTCGTGACGGGTGTCCCTGTCGCCCGTCAGGAAATAGTTTATGGATGAAAAATTAANGATTAATCAATAGTCAAGAAATAGTTCAGAAAAAAACTTATTTTGTAAAGTTATGTTTTTGCATGTTCAATCATGTTGCTTATATTCTGTTCTGTATGCATAAAAAAAACGGTGAATGACTAGATAGCCTATCTAAATAAACTAATGATGTCGCTTTCTGTTTTACTCAAGATCTTGTGAGAAGATAATAGTAAAAGAAATCGTTGCCATGATCTTGCTAAGATCTTAGGTACAAATTTATCAGATAGGACAAGATCTGAACAAGCGAATTATCTTTTAAAGATCTTGATAAGATCTTACCTACCAATCCCAAGATTTCAAGATCTTACTTACAAGATGTTTCACTAGGGTTATTAAGGACGAAACGCATCATGGTTGCTAAAAAATAATATAAACACACTAATGCACTCAGTCACACTAGTCTAAAACCTGACGATTAATTATTTTGTTTATGGTTAGAAATTTCTAGAAAGAGTATCTTTGCCAATTGTTTTTTCTTTCCTCCTCTTATACGGACAGTCACATCTTGTCGTACGTCATGTAAAAGAAATAGGTAAGAAGAAATACATTATCATGCTGTCATTGTAACATGATGAAATGATGATATTGCACTAGAAGGAACCTTGTGAGTATTAGAACAGGTGCAACGTTCTAAAGATATTCATTAATTATTATATTGCAAAAAACAATTTTGATGCTTGTTTGCCATTTATAAAGAGCAAAAACAAATCAATTTCATTGTAAACTTAAGAGAAAAGAAACGAATCAATCATACATCCAACAGCTAATAGTTTTATACATCGTTTAAGAGAGTGAACACCTGATTAGAGACTTTTCGAATATTGAGCATAGTTTACAGTCATTTCTAAAAGAATATATATTCATTCAAAAATTTTTTAAAGCAAGAGTGAGTAAGGCAAATCAATTCAATCGTGTCACTTTCCATTTCTGATCTAATCCATTATCAAATGTTCGTTGTACCATTTGTACACCTGCTTGTGCAGAACCATTGAGAATTGAAGCCACTTTTTGTGACCAAACATTAACGAACGATACAGTCTGATCATCATGTTGCATGATATGCCAAATTTGATTTTCTTTTAAGTTAAATGTATATTGCACTACTTTTGCATTATCATCTGTTTGCCAAGCATGAACATCGAGAACTTTACGACTATTAACATTGATTATTTTGTATTGACTATTGCCAATATACTTTATATCCCATGTTTGCCATGCAGCACCTGTATAATTGTTTTGTACAACTAATATACGATCTTGCATTTGACCAGATTGAACTTCAGCTGATAAATTAGATTTGAGGTTTATTATTGTGTAACGACCATCATACTTTGGTGACCACATTTCTACACTATCAATTAATAGAGTTTGTGGATAATCGGTGGCATTCAATGATGGTATCGATGGTGATCGACCACCGACACCCAATGCTAAAACTAATCTCATTTCAGTTATTTGTGTCAATTCAGTTGATTGAACAAATGATCTTAAAGTAATATTATCGTAGAAAAATGTGACTTTGTCATAACCCCAATCGATTGAATACGAATGCATATCATTACTATTATCACCCAATGAACGTGCAGTTCCACTAACTGAAGCACGTGATCCAGATGGAGATGTATATTGAAAAGAGTAGCCAATATTTTTTCGATCCTCAAATATGTCCATAGATAATATGGGCAAAGTTTCATCAGTTGGAACGAGCATTATCATTGGCCAAGTACTTTTTGCTGGCGGAGCTTGCATACGTATAACAACTAAGCCACGAGTTAAACTGATACGACTATTCATATAAATGGCGCCCGATGTATAATCTAGATCGACAAGACCATAATCAGCTGTATCAATATTCGTTATAGTTGTTGATCGCATGGCAATTGCTGTCAAGTTGACTCGATTATTCGATATAGATACTTGGCGCCGGGCCATATTTGCTCGATGGTTATAAAATGTTCCCCATGGATAATCGGAATTCCATATGGAACCGTTAAGTCTAGGTCCACTATCAAATGAATCTTCGAAGACTATTACAAGATCATCTCGATCAATACCCAGTGTATTTTGAAGATTGAAAACAATAATCGCGACTACCAAAAGCGTTGATAAACGGCTTAAGGACATTTTTTTTCTAATTCAGATCAGCGCTTTTCTTGCCACTATATATATGCTTTTGTTGATGCATTGTGAGAAAATAAATCACATGACAATCACAGTCAGTGACTACAATTTGCAATGATTCAATTCGCGCCTATTTCACTCGTCTGAAATTATAGTCCAATTTTTTATAATAAAAATAAAAGTAGGATAGTGATGCTATGTGTTCGTTATTATATGAATTAATTTTAAATATATGATAAATTAATTATGGATGAACATATTTGCTCATTCAATTAAACGAGACCTGGCCAATTCTAATTAATCAGTTGGTTATTAAGGTTCCGACACTATATTTTATTTCAAAACTACCAGACGAGTTAAAGTGAGTGCAACACACAGTATTTTTAAAATAACTCAACAGAGATATATTGTCTGATCTTGATTACGTTAAAAAATTGAAAATAGCAATATAATGCGTGCAAAAGTTTTTTGTAGTTATCCCCAAGTAAGCAAAAAACGAAGGGAGACTGCCGACGTGACTAGTCAGAAATGTCCGCAGCTGCCGTCAAGTCTAGTCTGGAATGTCTTGCATACCCGTCTTGTCTAGTCAGCTTAATGAGGAGTGTCTTGCAAACACGTCTGTACTAATCTGAAATGTCCTTGAGCCCAGTCATGTCTAGTCCAGACTAGTAAGAAGATTAAAACAGAGGTTACACGGTGGATTTGAACATCCAGCCCGAAAGTGTTCAAGATATGACGGATATCATGGCGGCAGTCTAGGATACTGAGATAGACTGCCGTAAGTATATATAGTCTAAACTTATATGTTGACTCCCATCCATGCATAGAAAATGAGAAACAAGCCGACGTAAACGGTATTGACTAGTCTGAAGCATCTTTTGGACACCTCATGACTAGTCCGTTGTTAAGAAGTGTTTATTTTACTCAATGCTTATCGAATTTTTTTCTAGCTAAAAGGACAATTAGAGAGTCTGCTGTAATCAATAATGCATTCGAAAAGATAATATATTGCGTGCATCTCTGTCTTGATATATTTTATTTTATTTTATTTTGCATTAGCTAATGCTAAAAGTTTAAGAGTGTGTCAAAACATAAAATAGTAGGGGTTAGTACTAACAACAAAATTCATCTCGTATCTGGGAGTGCTAATTTACATATTTTTTTTCAAAATAAGAGACGTACTAAATTTTAAAAAATTGAGAAGCATCTAAATCTTTTCATATAATACTATTATGTTAGTTTATTTTAAATATTAATTCTAATAATTTAAAATAAACCAAAAAGCTTGTTAGCGCAGCCCCTTTGGGGCTAAAATGTGGAACTCACATATATCCCTTCGGCTTACTAAAATAATTCAAAATAATTCATCTGAAAAATCTACCCTGATTTCCAAAACCCATAATTAGATCATTGCCTATTTGCACTTATGTGTGTAATTGAGTATTAATTGTTAGCTCGTATATTTAATAATGGCAGAGACTAGTTGCTATGGTCTGTAATGGTACCCTAAGCTAGTTACTATGGTCTGTAATGGGCAAGTATAGCTTTTTCGTGTAGTCTGTAATTAAAAAGGGAAGAAATAGCAGCCTAATTAGTCAAGCTTCTAATTAGCACAATTTTAAACTCATTAATGTCTGTAATGGGGAGGGGATGGGGATCCGCAAAAATCTCGCCTTTAAACTTACACTCACCATTTTCTTCGAAAATATATGTGAATTCCACAAAATATAGAACAACTGTGTTTTTCAACTAAGCACAATTTTATGAAATTGTATAATAATGAACTTTTACGGGTAGCATAGAAAAACTTTTTAGCACAATCATAGATTGATAGCTTTTGATGATAGATTAACAAACTCTTTCAGTATAAGCGCAGATCACTAAATTCTTCTGCGTACATTTACAAACCTTTTAGGAAACATGATAAGCCCTTCTGGATACCTGTAAAATAAAAAATCCTTTTTGTAATAATAAACCCTTTTCGGAATAATAATAAACCCTTTTGGATAACTGTAAAATAAAAACCACTTTTGGTGCAACTGTAACACAAAAAACCCTTTTAGAAAAACTCATAAACCCTTTTGAATAACTGTAAAATAAAATAAAACTTTCTGGATTAATAATAAACCCTTCTGGTACAACCGTAGAACAAAAAACCCTTAGGCGTCCACTGATAAACCCTTTTTTCCCAACCGTATCGTAGTAAACCTTCATACGTAGAACAATATATCTTTCTCCTTTCATCTTGATATTATAAATCCTTTTTATCGTCAAATACCCGTTGTTTCATAAATCGTTTGCTTCATAAACCCTTTTAGAGTTTATGAGAATTTGCTGTAAGTGCAAAGATTTAATATTCTACTTCTTTTTTTACAGTGTATTTCAAACTAAGATAAGGGACGAGCATAATATATCAATGAAAAGTACTCATTACAGTGTACTGAATTGTGCTCCTTGAAAAACTTACTAATGACAGATGATGCCATATATAACTATTGCCCTGACATGTCTTCAAATGATCGTACAGAGTAATTTCGATCGAAAATGAATATTTTCTCCTTATAAGCAGTTTATCGTGTTTATTCATTTGTTTTTTCTGATCAGATTCATCTTTCAATCTAGCTAAAATAGTACTTTCATTTTTGATTACCAAAAACAAACTTGCATCTAAAAAGAAAAAACAGAATCACAACAGTTGTGCTTTCATTTTTAGAAACGAAATAGTTCGTTCAAAATGCCGTTCGTAGTCGACTTTCGAGGTAGATAGCAACGTTCGGATGCTTCGCTACTTTTTGACCGTTAGTTTTTAACCATGGATACTGGTCAAGTATATTAGCATCGACTTCCAGAATATTTTCCAGCACATCGTACACGCACAAATCAGCGAAAGTCAGATTTTTACCGACGAAGAACGAACTACCCTCATTGTAGGCTTTAGCCAAGGTTTCAAGATTACGTAGATGTTTCGGTAATTCGTTAGCAAAGAATTCGTCAATGCTTGCTTTTTTCTGAGGTTCCTCTTGATACCAAATAATGGGCCCGAATTTATTAAGAAGATCCGTAGCTGTATCAGCAACAGCTTCGACTTTTGCTTGTTCTAAATTGTCTTTGCCTGTCAGATGAAATTGACGAGCAAGAAAGCGAGCAATAGTCATTGATTGTGGCAATTTAATACCATCGATTTCGAGTACTGGTATCTGACCGAGAGGCATTTCGGACTTGTGCGACGGCCATTCGTTTTTCTGATATCGTATATCTTCGAACTTTTGTCCAGCAGCAGCCAAAATTAGGCGAGAAATTTCACCCCGACCACGGCCATCGAAATAATATAGTTTGTAAGTTGACATTAAGATGTATGCGTGCGCTTGCGCTCGAAGACAGACAAAAAGAAGGAATATGCAACGATAAGGTGTCGCATTCAAATCAATAATAGTATTTATATACGTCGAGCAACAACAATAGAGTAAGAAAAGTATCTTGCCACGCCGTTTTTCTTTCTAGCCAATGAAAGAAGGACAACGAAAGAGAAAAGAACAAGAATGGATTGATAACATGTATTTTTGTCATTTTACTGTCTTCAAGGTGAGTCCTATTAAACTTCGAGCTACCACGACGCGTTTCGACCTGGCTGGGAATCTTATCAGGTTGTTTCCACTGAACCTGCGTAACTCCAACTCGAAATCGAAAATTTCAAATAAAATATCCAATATTCTCGATAAATAAGCAGCACAAATTTAAAGAACAAGTGAGTTCTATTAAAGGACGGGGGTGGATTGGTCCACAAATCGGCCCTATTTGAAAATCATTTCGGAAATTTTTTCCACTTTACAATATATGCTTCCCCCTTTAACACTATGCCAGTTTCCATGTACATGGACGATTTTCGTGGACACTTCATGGAGTATTCAATGGAATACGTCATAAGCCTGCTGTTTCTTCTTCACTTTGCATCATGTGGTACCTGTAATCATCATTTCATTCCAATCTGGAAGTGTCATTTTTTCAGAGTAGATAGAACTCATTATGAGCTGCACTGTAAAAAAACAGCGTAGATTAATAAGCCCTTCAAAACGATTTATTGGTCTCAAAAACCCTTTCATATACCCCTCTTGACCATCAAATGCCCTTTTTGCTCATAAACCTTAGAAAGCGTATTTTATACGTCGTAAATTCATAAGCCCTAGAGGGTATATGAACAGTCAAATACCCTTTTAGCAGTCAAGAGAGGGTCCACGAGAAAACCGGGTAAAAAATGGGTACATGGCAGGGGAAATTTTTTTATTTTTTTATTTACCTATCTTAAAACAAAGGCCTTATGGAGTTATTACTAAATCCAAATATTAGCTTCATCGGATCATCCTTTGCTGAATTATGACCCAGGCCACGATAACATATCCTATTGAACTGTCACTTTTTCTTATTTTTCAGTATTATGTAAAATTCATCAACTTTTTCAGAAATTAACATAGTACAACTTATACCAAAAGAAAAAGCATCTTTTTTCTATCGATTCCTATATCTTTTGGCTTCAAACAAACATCATGTTAGGAGTAAAGGTGTCAAAGCCATGGTTTTTTTGGTCAAAAAAAATATGTTCTTTTTACAGTATTTTCATGGCTTTGGTTGGAAAGAGAGAGTTCCCCATATATCTTTTGACACTAAAAGATAGCCCGTAAAAAACTGCACCTTTTGATGTAAAAATATCTTGAGGGTGTGGGTGTGGGTGTGGGGTGTGGGTGTGGGTGTGGATGTGGGTGCGGGTGCGGGTGCGGGTGCGGGTGAGATAGTAACTCTTGCTGCTACCTCCACCACCAGCAACAACCACTCCCAAGCCACACCCACAACCAAGCCCCAACTGATCACATATTCCGGTTCCTGGACCTCGATAACCTAGTACGAACTAACCTCAGAATTTTCCTCCGAGTTAAAATAAAAAATCTACCATTTCAGCTTTTTGCTCTGGGTGGGACCGATTTTCTGACCAATGGGAACCGCAAGCGAAAAACTGATCACATATTCGGGTTCCTGAACCTCGATAACCTATTACAAAGTGTCATCAGAATTTAGCTCGGAGTTAAAATAAGAAATCTACCATTACCGCTTTAGACTCTCGGGTCGACCTATTTTCTGACCAATGGAAGCCCGCCGCGAAGACCTAACTACATGTTCGGGTTGCTGGACTCCACTAACCTATTACAAAGTGTCATCAGAATTTAGGTCGAAGTTGAAATAAAAAATCTACCATTACAGCTTTTGACTCTGGGACTGACCCATTTTCTGACCAATGGAAGCCCGCCTCGAAAAACTAACCACATATTCGGGTTCGTAGACCTCACTAACCTATTACAAAGTGACATGATAATCAATCAATGGATTCCATCGGATTGAGGATTTCAATTCATTGTGATGATTTCAATTCTATTTAGGATGAAAATCAAATTGAAGTCGGAATAATCGAGAATAACGACATGATAATTAATCAATGGATTCCATCGGATTGAAGATTTCAATCGATGATATGGATTTAGATTAGATTTCAGATTAAAATTCGATTGCTTCTTTAACAATTACTATTAACCGGATGATAATCCTCTGGCCGATTGAATATTATTGGAAATTATAATCGATTGATCGATTATTAGTGGATTTGTTCGCTATAATCAACTGTTGTGCAGAGTAATCGTTAATAATCGATTGAGTGGATTAAATTTACATCTGATTGTGAGATTTTAATCGATTGTCATCCGATTTTTTTGGAAAACTTGGATTTTTTAGTGTATTAATCGGATTTTTAAGGTGGCAATCCGAAATAATCCGGATATTCGAAGAAATTTTTTTCAGTGGGTATTGACAACACATCAACAGCGTAACATTTAAATGAAACTATGCTAGAAGAAGGCTAACGATTGCCTAATGTTCAAGAAGATTGATTTAGTATATATATAACTCATGATGAAATCGGTTAGAATCATGATTAGTATTGAACAGTTATCATTATCGTTTTTTTTTGTCTGTTTCTCTCAGTGTTTCGAGTTCATTTTAGTTCAATGTCGTACCCTTATTTTTTTTAATCTTTTCTCAGTTCACTCTTCCTTACATGTTTTTCTTTTTTCTTTTCTTGTGTAGACGCTCGGGAGCGCGTCTCCATTAAGGGGGAGTGTGTGCCAAGAAGTACATCCGCGTAAAGGACTAGATTAGATAGGGGTTACATGAACCGCCGGACATCCACGTGTAAGTCATAGAGATGATGAACATACTGCAGTGACGTAACACATAATCGTCCACTGAACAGTGCGTAATCTTTCTGTGTATATTTTCTCTCTAGATAACTTTCTCTTTCTCCGTATCCCATTCTCTATCAATAACTTTTGTCTCTATGTATTTTCTTCTCTCTCCGTTCTCTTCTTTCTTGGTAGCGTATATAAGCGTGTGTTTTGTATTAGATGGATACACTTGGATGTAGAGTATAGTTGAATGAACATCGTGTAGTAAAACACTAAACTATGCCTCTCCACTTGTCATAACGAATTAGAATAAAGTTGTGCTTTATAATACAATCGTATGTATTCGGTTGTATTGAAAGACAACACACAGAACTCATTTTGGACAAGAATAAACTCATCGTGTGGAATTGTTGTTAATATTATACACATAGTGGCTAAAATATATAGCTGATACTGATCTACACTTTGTTGTCCATCATCCTATCAGGATATATACGCAATTCTATATATCTCGATAGTTATNGAAGTAGCAAAAGTAGAATTCAATTTTTACGGCATGAGACAAGGCACATTTCAACGATACTCTCATACCCGATAGAAATTATAAACATTTGATGCTCACTCTATCTTTCAATTAGACTTATCCAAAGCACTTTTTCACTAGCAATTATTCGAATATTAACGGAATTTCCTCGCACGCGATAACACACACCTATGCTGAAAAAAATAAGTTTTTTTATGGTTTTGTTCAGCATTTAGTGCCACATTCAATGATATATAATTGGGTTATCAATAATAACTTTTAAGTGCACTTTATAGTCAATTTATCCGGTATATAACTCTGGTATAAGCCGTATAAGAGATATCACCTGGCTCGCAGGAAAAAAGTGGAAGATTCGCAGAAATGTTTATTGATTCGTCGTTTTGTATTAATTTCTTTTCGAACTATGTATAGTTAATAGGGGTTTCACTATGGTTTCCAAATAGGGCCGTTTTTGCTAGCATATCCACCCCCGTCCTTTCGCCAATTGGCGAACTCGTATGTCAGATATAATTATGTTTTTTGGCGAATTTCATATGCTACTTCGCCAATTACACTGAGTTGCGTTGCAACTCAGTTACAATACTTGATACCTGTACTAATCAAACTAAATTTTGCAGTTGTACATATGTGTATAAAGAAAGGGTGAATAATGTGACAGTTTTTACTTGGTGCGACATGCGCTGTGCGTTATCTGTGGACGTATATTTTTAACTGGGAGGCAACACATTGTATGTCCATGTTTTTTAACATTAAAAATACGGCACAATTGACCGTATACGATTGGCTACATTCTCGTTAGAGAGAAATATTTGTTATAAAGTTCGCTTCTGTTTATGTATTTGTGAATTAACTAATATTACAATAAACACATAAAATTATCGTTATGGTTGTAAGCGAACAAGGAGGATATTCGTTCGCTATATCCATAACACATATATCACATGAAATTTGTCTCAATTAGAAAAGACTAATCATAATTATAAAATTTAAAAACTATTTGTTCTAATATATACACCTAAATTATTTGTCTCTTATTTAAAATAAAAAGAAATTAAATAAAAATATATAATAATACTGACTCAGTTGAGTCGTACGTTTACTAAGTATAATTGGCGAATCTGTAAGTCGAAAATGCTTTTTCTTTTGGCAAATTTCCTCACGAATTTCACCAATTGGCGAATTTCCCCACGAATTTCGCCACGGGCGAATGTACTGTTGGCGAAAAGAGGAATTGGCGAAATTACATAGACTCTAATTGATCAACGTTTAAAAGAATATATTTATTCACAACAAACACATTTTCGTCAAAAAATCGATCATCAATTGTCGAAATTTAAAGAAAATATTCATGCAAAACAAATCGATTATATTTTATTCAATGACAATCTTACCTCTAATCAAGTAGGTCATATACTTTAATGATTTTGTTTATTTTCTTAAATTTTTTTTGTAAAGAAAGCAATTCTACATCGATTAATGACCATACAAGATGAACAATTACAATCTTGGAAAGAATTTCTCATCTTAGAACAACGTATTCTCTCGAAATTTTTACCTGAAAATTTCGATGAATTGGAAAATTTTATTACATCTAATTTCTATTCATCAATAATCGATGATGTTGATGATGATTCTATCGTTAAATAGCAATTGAAACGTGTAAAAATTTTACAAGAATCAAAGCGTATCTGGTGAGATAATTATCTGCGGATATATATATTAAAAATTCACTAATATGATCAACATTATCAATATGAATTAGTTCAATTGGAAGAGTGTTTGAATAATAGTAGTATTCAAACAACAACAACAACAGCTCTATTTCAATCTATTCAAACATATATGACACATCGAAGAAATCGATTAAAACTAGAAATCTATTTACAAATGAATTATTTTCATATGAAATTAATACGTCGTCGTCAATATTCATCTATAAATAAACAAATGATTGGTGTTTCATCTGAAGTTCTTCTTGATGTTTAACATCGTCATCACGATTTAAATGCTATTGAATGTGAATATCTTTCTCGAGGTAAAAATTGATTTTATTATTGAGATAATCATTGATTTTCATATAATCTATTTATTTTTAATGATTTTTAGGTGGAAGTTATATTCGACCCAATCGTACTAGTCTTTTGCCATATTCTGAACGAAAAAAATTGGTTCAAGAAGAACATGATAAAATTATGACGAAAATTAAAGAATCTCTTTCAAAAACGTGTCCATCATTACCATCAACATCACCTCTTTTTAAACAATTTTCTCAACGTCTTCATGCATGTTTAACTTTTCATTATATGGCACCTTTACCTTATATGGATCAAATTCGTGCAAAACAAGAACGTGAAATTGTCAAATCTATTCGGCGAAAATCAAAGAAAGGAAAACTTATTCTTCGTGAAAGTGATAAAAGTGGAAATCTTTATGTTGGTCAGAAAAGTGTTTTTGAACAAAAAGCTACAGAATATCGTCAACAAACAGGTGCCTATGAAGAATTATCATCCAATCCACTTGAAGAAATTTTAATTAAAGTTACTCGTTTACTTAATGATCTTCATATGAAAACAAAATATTTATCAGTAAAACAATATAAAAAATGATACCAACAAGAAAAAAAAGTGAGATTAGCTTACGTGTATTTTAATCCGAAAACACATAAAGTTATTATATTAATAATAAAACTTCTCTTATTCTTTTTTTTAATTTTCTCTTCAATTAGGATCCTATAACACTTCGACCAATTATGAATACAATTCATGCTGCAACAACAGGTATTTCTCATTTTTTAGACGAATTAATTCGACCATTATTTAATAAACATGCACAACCAAAACCAATTATTGATGGTAATGATCTTCTTCATAGATTAGAACAATATGATCGTGATGGTTATCTTCAACCAACAACTCGATTTTTTACTTCTGATATTACTAATTTATATACAATGTTACCACAAAATCAATCCTTAGATATTCTTGAAGAATTTCTCGATGAATATCATTTAGAAAATGAATTACAAGGTATATCAATTGAAGTTATTCGACAATTAGCTGAAATTGTTCTTAAAGAAACAGCATTTTTTATGAAAATAAATATTATAAACAGATTGTTGGTGGAGCCATGGGATCACCATTTACTTTAACATTAGCGAATATTTTTATGTGGAAATGGGAAAATAATATTATCTGTAAAAAATTAGAACCCAATGAAATCTATGTCCGGTAAGTCTTCATTCATTTTATCATAGAATTTTACTTTTCATTTCTCTTTTCTTTCTGATGATAATGGTAGATTTATTGATGATATTTTCTTTACTTCAAATGAATCTAAAACAACAATCGAAGCTATATTACAAGATGCTAATAAATTTCATCCCAATATTAAATTACAAGCCAATATTGGTCTTAGTATTTTATTTCTTGATCTATTAATTAGTAATAATAATGGAATTCTTTCATCATCTGTCTATCATAAATCAGCCGCAGAACCATGTGTTGTACCATTTATTTCTGATCATCCTCGTCATACGTTTGCTAATATTATTCAAGCTGCTCTTCTTCGAGCAATACGTTATTCTTCTACATTAGAAATTTTTCACACAGAATATCGTACAATTCGATTAATGCTGTTATATAATGGGTATGTCTTTGATTCAAACAATTTTTGTTTTGTTCAAATCATTAGATTCTTTTGAACATATACATATATATGTATTCTTTGTAGATATCTATCCAAATATATTGATACACATTTTCAAGAATTTTTCGCTCAATATCTTCCGATTTCATCGCTGGTACCACTTATATATGATGAAAATCAATTTTTAATAATAAGAAATAAATTATTTGCTCAACCATCTGTAAAAGAAATACAAGCGAGTCAAGAAATAGCTAATATAGAAAGAAAACAAGCTAGTAAAAGAAACAAATTCGACAAAACATTATTTCTCCATTATACACATGAAAATCGATTGTTCCCATTTAAACGAGATATACACAAAATTTACTCAGAAGCCTTTCAAGGTGCCGATGCAGCAAACCTTCGACTGATCATTGGACATCGAAACAGTCGTAATATTGCATGCGAATTGATACAGAAAAAGCCATATTCTTCCTTTATAAAATTACAACCAGCGAAAAGTAAGATTACCTATCTGCCTACAGAACACTTTAATGTATAAAAACAAATTTCTTTTTTGAATTTCTAGATTCAAATATAAACCAGACATGAAACATCAATTAATCCATATTTCAACAAATTTTCGATTCAACTACTAATGACTTCACAACATCTTCACTCACAAACCCTCAGTTGTTTCGATTCATAATTTATTTCAGCTAAATCTTAACCATACTAAACAATATTCTCACGTCGATTTCTAAAATACCTATTTATTCTATAAAATAAAATACAAATATATATACCTGTATAAAGACTCTCCTTCCAAACAAAATATTTCAATATATTTTCCGATGACTTCAAAACACATGCCACAAAAACTATTCACTTCCATGTCAATTTCAAATCATACTAAGAAAAACAAACTAAATAAACTAAATATTTACATTGTTCACATGAAAATCAATGATATTCCACATAAACATCTGACCAAGCCCACAAATTACAAATCGAAACCGATTGTGGTAACTCTTTCTCACCACTACACATTGATTTACAATTACTTTCGGGTAACATTGTAATAGACCAGTATTTGGTTCTTTTTGTAAGAATCATTAGATTGGTTATGAACTACCGGAGGAAACGATAGCTTGAGTAACTATCGAAACCGGTTGTGGTAACTCTTTCTCACCCTCACCCCTTATAGTTTTATCCACTATATCTCTAGACTGGCTTATCCATTTGAGCTAAAATTTCGGGTTTCTTGCTAACTATGTTAGGTCTACCTACTATAAAAAGATTAGCCAAATCGGTGAGATTGATTGAGAAAAGTTGTCAGTAAATGGTCGTGGCTTATATGCAATGCCTCCTAGGAGACCAGGGACGAAATTTAAAAAAACAGAGCCGTGGGGGACCACAGGTGAATTTTTGGTGGAGAAAACTTTTTTGTAAATTATATATGATTCGATGCAGTTTTTGACGCTGATTCGGAATGACATATCGATTTTGCTATATGACTGTCTTATGGCAATAAAAGTCGGCGAAAATGTCTGCTTTATTGAAAAACCATCAAAAACCATTAACTATAACAGTAATGTTTGCCATTTTTCGACTCGATGGAGAACTTATTTTTAAACATCCTTTTAACCATTTTGTAGAGGAGAAAAAGTTGTACAACATATGTGAAATTCAGCGTGGAAATCCTCAAAATGACAGAATGGCAGCCAATATACTGCAAAAATTTGACCCATTTTTCACTCGAAAAATGACTAGTCATGAACAGTATTTCATAAATAACTATCAATCAGCCCATGTAAATATAATATGTAAATAGGTGATTTTGTTCAGCTTTCAATGCTCTATCTTTTGGTATATTACAATAAATATTTCGTTAATTTTTTGTTGTTTTGAAAAATCCACCTTTATAGAGATGATTTTTGATGATATTTTTTAAATATCACCATGAGCGTTCGGCAGTAAAATTGAGCTAACTTTTCACCAGCTCAACCAAATGTGCTAAAAATTTGGATTTAGAGTTTTTTCGATGTTTCTAAACAAGATGAGAATAAAAAATAAAAAATTTAAATTTTGACGAGTGCTTCGATTTCTTGATGGTCTGATGTAGGCTCTCTTAAGTTTTATTATATTTTTTCCTGCAGATATCTTATGCCATCTGATGATTCTTCTCTTAATTGAGATGAAATCGTGATTATGGTAGTTATCTGTTCATACTCACCCTCAACATTGAAATACCGGATTATTGTAGTAGCTATACTTGCCCTCACCCTCAAGTTATCGAAGATGGTCTATGCAGTGGTTGACTTGGATTTTTTACCTGACCACTCCCATCTTTTAAACGGTACTATGAAATTACACTTGATCCATATACATCTGATCCTTTCACTTTTTCGTAAGATCTTGTATTTAATAACAATCAAAGTTAGAAAATTATGGATCAATACAATACTGTACGATGAAAGATTACGAACGCGCATCAAATTTTAAAAGGCAAATTTCAATATTTATAGGTCTTGTTCAGTCGCATACGAAGATGTTCGCCGGCGGTGATTATTCGTTCATTGTTATGAACGAGTACGTGTTTGGCATGTTCATCTTTTTCGAACGCACGATCAGCAATAACTTTTGACAGAATGGGACTCAGCAATGTTGTATGATTGGGAAAACCAAAATAAGCGATGGAAAAACGCTCATTGCTGCCGGTCAAATGCTCAACAGGCATAACGACACGATGAACCGCGCTTTTGATGAACCCATTTGACCAATATTCGAAGATATCGCCAAAATTAACAACGATCATATCTTCATAAGGCTCAATGGGATGCCAGATGTTCGTCAAACGATCGAGTACTTCGAGGCCACCTTTCTGATTGTGTTGAAAGAGAAGCGTAATCGATCCATAGTCCGAATGGGCGCCAGCTCGAATCGATTGGTGTTCGGCGTTGGCAATCTTTTTCTGCGTGGCAGGATAGTGAAGAAGCCGAAGTTTGTCGGCCGAGTCAGGTCCCCACTTGTGTCTTGAGGTAAAATAATCTCGATCAATCTCAAAACTGTCGGCAAGATACATCAACAGTTCCATACACAAATCATAGCAGGCTCGTTGAAAGTCTGAAATTAATTTGTAATTATTCGGTTGAGCAAAGAGAACTGGTAGTTGGTCCGATTTGTCCGACGTATAAATATTGAATGCTTCCTTTTCATCGATTTGTTTAATGTTGGCCGAATCGAGATTTTCTTGGCCAACTCGAATGTAACCCCGATCTTCAGGTGTTATTAAATGTTGCTCTTTGATAGCGAGAGGCAAACGAAAATATGCTTCAGCAAGAGAGAACATGCGTTCTTGGGCACCGTGAAGATTGTGATTTCGAAGATAGAAAAAACCTGTCGTTGAGCAGGCATTCAAGAGAGATTGAACAATTGTCGATCGGTCTGCTTTAAGATCGATAATGGGAAACGACGAGAATGACATGCTAAAAAGAGTGTCTAACAAAAGTAGCTTTTATTTATCGAAAGATGGGGTGATTTTAGAGAGAAAAAGGATCAAACACTTAAACAGATGTATCACGGCAGTTTGACAGCTTAACCTCTACCCCCATAATAAAAGCCTCCGGGGCTTCTATTTATTGGAGGCTACTATTAGGAATTTCGTACAAAAATTTGGAAAAAAGTAGAACATGAGTTTGATTGCTTTTATCTTCTTAACTACGGTAGTCTCTATGAATTTGACAAGAATCTTTTTCTATTTATCAACAGTCAGTAAAGGAACCAGATACTCTTCAATTGTTTTATCTTCATACATGGTCAATAGAGAAACAAATTCTAGCTAAGGCCTCAATCAGACTGAAAAAAATCCGACGAATTAAGTCTGAATTAACGAATAAGTCATATTTTTCAGACAATTTACCTCTTGATGCGCCAGTCGTATTGCTTAATTCAACTTTAAATTAATTATTTTTTTTCGGTCTGATTGAAGTCTAAGTAATTTTTATTGTATGATGAGAAAAATAATTGTACAAATGACCTCTCCTTTTTATCACCTCGTTTCCTTTTATTATCGACCGTCTGTTCTTAAATAAAACTAACAAAACGATTTCCGTCGGGCAGCGAAAATTTATTTAATATTGACTGAATGTGTTTTATTTTTCCATCGTTCAAATATATCGTCATATCACACAAAGAATAAATATAAATCAGCGAGTGTACGAATGTTAACTTACAATTTGGACGAACGAATTAACTGTTCAAAAATTCGAAATTCTTCTAGTCATAATAAAAGCCCCTATGCTTCTAATGCATCTTTCACATTCATTCTTTTAAAGGGAGCTTCTAATACGGGGGGGGGGGGGGGGTTGGGTTTTTAT